CCGGGCCGGCCCTTTTTTTTTTTTTTTTCCTAACTTTCCTCTCGCTTTTTAACTCTCCACAAGGAACCAGAAATACAAGACAAAAACATTAAAATGAGAGGGAAATACATTCATTCATTCGCTGAGCATACTTGCTTCTGTGTCCCATCTTGTCTAGTTAGGAAAGACTGCTTTTCTCCAGCTTCTTCAAGGTGTAACTTTTTGCATACTTTATACGACAACACAAATAATTTACTTTGTAGAAGTAAGCTTATTCATACTTCACTTTTATACTAGTCAGAGAGCAAAAGAATTTTTTTTTTTTAATTACTTATTCCAGACCTGACAAGTCAGACAAGCATTGGTTTGAAATGTGTTGATAGTTACAGAAGAGTTGTTATTAACTCTATTCTGGGTTGTTAATCAGTGCAATGATTAAATAAAGCACTGTTTGACTAAAGCAACCATAAAGTTGTAATGGATGGTTAGTGTATCCGTAGTGTTATTCCCAAAATGCTGAGTTACAATGTGTGTTTTAATTAAGCAGTCAGTTTTTGGCCCTGAGTGGTTGCATGAAATTAATATTTATTCTTTTTCATATTTTTAAATGCAATGCTAGAGGATAAAAAGATTGGAGTCATTTTTTTCCTGTGTGAGCCTCCATACAGTGCTAGCTAGAAATTCGGTTCTCTTGGCTAGAGATATGATCCTTTTACTTTCACTGTAATGGGTCTTAGAGATCTAACTCCATAATTCTCACACTCCTGTACACTGAACAATTCAGTAAGCCGGTGGCGAGCATCAGAATTTTTTTCTACTTCGGATGAGGATGGAGATGGCCTACCTTGAGTGCTGTTGTGTTTGTACACTGATCCTGGCATGCTATTTATTCTTTAGATAGTCATGGGTTTGGAGTCCTATATGAGGCACTGGAATTAATTGTTAACTAATAAAACTTCCTCTCAGCTGTAGAGTGTGTTACAACTATTTGGAGTTTTTAACTTGATTTGATTTGAGCCTAACAACAAGTCTATGCAGTAAAGGAAAGCAGGCAGGATGTACAGTAAAGACTTCATCTGGATATGAGGAAATCAGACTGCAGAGAGAACTCTTGTCTTAGAGATCAGCGTACAGGTCAAAATGTCAGGTGCAGCGAATATTTAGTTTCAGTGGGAAGGCCACTTTGCCGAGACCAGCATCTAGCTCTTCCTATGCTGAGTTTTTTCCACTGCATTTAACTCGATCTATATCTTTGCGTATGACAATCTAGAGTCATTTTGTTCAGATTACAGAACTTGAAAGGAACAGATTATGCTTCACAAGGCAAGCTTTGATCAAAGGCACTTGCATATTCCTTTATTAGTCTGAGCAGACTGCGCCTTGCAGTTAGTGCCTTTTACATGTTTATAATTCACCCAGTAGATGAAGGAAAAGCAAGCAGACTACTTCCCATTGCAGGCTGACTCTGATCAGAACCTTTTACCCAGCTGTCGACCAACCTACCCTTGTGGAGCACAGAGCTTTTGCACTCTAATTCCTAATGGCATCTTGAAAGAAGAGGAAAACAAGAAGGAGAAAATGCAGAGAAAGAAAAGGAAGAGAAGACAGAGAAGGAGAAGACGGGGAATCAAGAGAAGATTCTGAGAAAGTGCTTGATGTTAGTTCTGCTTCTGAGAGCTCAGACCTGGATGCGACTCGGGCATCTGGAGGAAACCACAGGGCTGGGGCACAATTGGCAGGTGGCGTTTGTCAAGGTGGAAGTCAGAGTGGAATTGACTCACATTAGCTACTTGAGCAAAGGCAGTGTGAAAACAGGTTCATTACACTATTTTGGTAGAGCCGCCCAGTGTGCAGTGCGCCAGGCTTGGCTCACAGGCTGGTTCTCAGCAAGGCGTTCCCTGACCACCAGATGGAAAATGTCCCCCACCTTCCTGCCACCTCTCACCCCATCCTCTTCTCTGCTTTATGCTTCTCCCCAGTACTGAGGGCCTCTGTCACTCTTCACATAGTTGTTGGTGGCCTGTCCTCCACTGGTGCATCAGTTCCACCAGGTGGGATTTGTGTCTGGTGCACTTTCTGCTCTGTTTCCACCACAAGAGACAGAGAAAGAGGCGGGGTGGACGCTCTGCCTATACCCTGGGCCAGGAAGTGAGTTTTTCTAAATGAGAAACTACCAAACAGTATCATGTATTTTATATGGATGCATAGATACATAAGAATTTTTAAAACCTGGTATAATTCACAACAAACACCTAAC